TTTCACAGTTTGGTTACGCAATGCTCTGCGTAGTTTTACAGTTAGGAAGTAATTTTTAGTCCTTCTCGACTCAAATAGTTCTAGTGATTATTGTCCTACACGACGTAATCGACGTTGTTTAGAATAATGGATTAATTTTGGTCCTACGCGGCTCAAATAGTTTCTAATAGCTCAACTTGACTCGTTGGCTATAATCGTTGAAAAAATGAAAAGTTATTGCCCAAATCGTGATCCACATTCCCGTGGACGAGCCCCCATTTGGGGAATAAAGGGGGTGAAGAGAGAGCTTTAAATAAAAGGAGATAAGCTAAACTTAACAAAATGTATTAACAAAATTAAGATACACATTCTGCTAGCGTCCTACTCGAGCCAGACATTCCAACTGATTCCATCTACATGGTGTGCAAGTAAGAGTAATGTAAATGTAGTGTCCTTGATGTCACGTGATTGAGATAGTTGCTTCGTGGATCTGTATTCCACATATATTTCTCTACTCTCGTTTTTTATCATTATAGCCACGCTAAGCATTCGCCACCTCGCCAAATGCGATAAAATCCTAAATTTGGCGAATAAAATTGTGTTTTGGGAAATGATTTTTTCCACTGGAAAGAAAAATATTTAACTCGATCCTATTAAATCAAAACGATTTTTTCTAAGCAAATTAGTATTTTTTATTCAATTACAGTAATTTTCGGTAGATGCGCCGCATAACCAATTAGAATCAGGACCAAATAATATAAGCCTAAAACAAACTACCGTTTTCCATGGGGAAAAAATAAATCATAAAAAATTTTTAAGATTTGCATATGGCGAAGACTTTTGAAAATTGGCGAATACTTTTGATATTTGGCGAATACTTTTGATATTTGGCTAATTTACTGACTAATAATTTGAAATCCTTTGAGTGAGCCCTGATAATGTGATGTTTTTTGTTTTAATTTGTTATGGATGATGTCAAATCATAATAATCAAACCACATGATAGCATTCTAAAAATTTATAATAGTAAATGAACGAACATTAAAATGAATGATTACGGAACATTTATTATAAATGAAACAATGTCTCTGAAAGGTTATCTCTCGTTTATGTAATTTGCATTAAATACTAATGAGTTATTACATATATATTCTGATATGTGAAATCGGAATCTTTAATTATTTTTCGGATGAAAAGACGAGATAAAACAGAAAGTGTTATAAGCGTTTTCCAATGAAAGAGGATTTGATATAATTATTTATCAAGAAATTATCCGAGTGCAATAAATAGGAATGCAAACATTATTAATAATATTCTCGTCAGTTGCAGTTACTCCTAGTAATTATCATCTTGTAAGTATTCTTTTCTATTCAATATGTGTATGCAAGCAGCTGTATTATCAGTTTTCATTGACAGATATATTACCATTTAAAAAAAGAAGATACAGCATTTTCGTTTTCCAATATTATCATTCTGTTCGACTTATTGGTATAATCTTTGTATTTTGATTTCCTTTGTTCCCGCTTTTTGTTATTTTTCAAATATATCTTAGTCCTATTCAAATGAAATATTGCCAATGTGGCTGGTCTAACTCATTTGGTATTTTGTTAACTGAAAAATTAAATGGTTAAAAAGATCTTATTCTTTCAACCATGAGAAAGATAGTTGCAAAATAATAAAAAGTGCAAAAATGTTGTAATTGCCAATATAATTAGTAGAAAGACTCTATAGAATTGATAGAAATTTTAAGATTTGTAGTTAAATAATTAAAATTTTTTACTAATACCTATAAAATTCAAGATTGCGGCTGAAGCTCACTTTGGTCCAGGAAAACTTCAGGTATTCACTGGGGGTCAACTAAAAACTTCTAAACCCCTTCATGCTAAACATCATCCTAATTCTTTCCTCCCTCCTGGAACTGACTTAGAAGTTATTACCACAGAGATAAAGCGCTGCCTTTCCAACAAGGCCACCCGGGTTCGAATCCCAGCAATGACTGATCGTTGCGAATTTCGCACTCAGCTCGCACCGACCTGAGTGCTTACGCAAAATATCCTCATTGGTAGACGGATCATGGGTTAGAGTCTCCTTGCAGTTATTCTAACCATGGGAAATTTTCGAGGTTTTCCTCTCCATATAATGCAAATGCGGGTTAGTTCCATTAAAAAGTCCTCCATGGAGGCAAGTTTATCCTAAAACTTGATCCAGGAGTTTCCTTGTCTTCTGGATTGGGTTCAAAATTACAATGCAACGGAGTTGAACATTAGAAGTCGTAAACTCAAAATTGTGTTGGCAGTTCAATGACGATTTTAAAATAAAATAAAAGGAAACTATAAACATTTTTAAAAAAACATTCACTTAGCGTGATGTCGAAGACAGTTTTAATAAGTTTAATGAGTCAGTTATATATTCTAAAGCTCAACACTGTGTCCGAATCTTGATATGTCATTCTTAGTTCTTAATAATCTCAGAAAGACTTCTCCAGAAAAGTCAGGCATGTTCAATTCTTTATCGGAAGATTGATGTCCTTTTGTCGCGCACGCATGATTAGGCTGAGTTTCATCCTCTCTGAGCACAGAAGCCCTATCAAGAATAGAATGTTTTTATTTGCAGAATATATGGAGGATAAAATAAGAACGTATCAGAAATTTGTCAATTAAAGCTTTTAATATGTTAAATTCAATATTTTTTTACTCTTGTATCAATGGAAACTTGTCTTGTTTTTTAATTATTTTTATTTCATTTATTTGGGTACTTAATTAAACATTATAACGAAACAAAGAGTTTCATCCTCTTTGAGAACGGAAGCCCAATCAAGAATAGAATGTTTTCTGTCAATTTTTAAGCAAAAACTGATAAAAACTTATTCTCTATTAATCAAGGTAAGTTCTACTTACCCCGTTCTCCAGGACTGCCACTGTAGGTAATAAACGTCAATTTGTTTACTGTACAAAGTAATCCAACATGCTTTAGGACAATCACTTTAATAACGAAATATAACAAACAAAAGAAGATAAACAATTAAGCATCTAATTATCGTACGGAGCTAAACTGCTCGTTCACAGACTGAGATCATAACATCAACTGGTGGCGCTGTCGGCGAACCAAAACAGCATGCGTAGGAGAGCTATTGCGAGAATTCGCAACATTCTCCCACTTTTGGATTCGAAGACAACCCTTTTCGAATCCAAACAGAAATCTTAGTCTATATGGTTCATCTGAAAGAAGCTAAACAAATAAAATTATTAGCAAAATGGTTACATTGTTAACGAATTAAGCACAGTTAAAAAGTCTTTGATAGTCTCTTAGTTGGTTTCAATGATCGTCCATAACGAGAGTATCGAACTTCTTCATTGGCAGGGATTAAATCCTTGTTGTGACAAGGACTCTCATCATGTGTACCAGAATTGTTCACAGTTGGAAAGTCATTCGATTTCATTTCCAGCGGAAAAAGTCTTTGTATAGGTCTCAATAGTTTTCCAGATTTGGGTTTTAAGTTCCACTAAGCGTACTCTACCATCTTTTCCTGGATAAGTCTTTTCAACTTTGGCTAATGGCCAGTGTATTCTTTTATTGTTGGAATCTCCTATTAGCACAAGATCTCCTTCTTTGATCGACGACTCCCTTTTAATTTTGGAATTATCTTTAAGCAATCCTAGATATTCAATTCTGAATCGGTTTCGCAGGTCTTGTCGCAATTTTAACCGGTAAGAATATCTTTTGTTCAATTTTTTTGAATCAATTAGGTCAAGTTCAAGAACACCAATTTCTTTAATTTCCTGAAGAAACATGGATGGCGTGAGCGCTGACATATCTTTGGGATCTTCTGAAAGATACGTTATAGGACGGGAGTTAATTAAACTTTCCGCGTCGGATAATACTGCAGCTAACTCTTCTTCATTCAAACTAGCTCGTCCTAGAACCTTTCTTAGGATGCCTTTCAAAACTCCTATTAATCTTTCGAAGAAGCCTCCCCACCAAGGGGCAGAGGGAGGATTAAATTTCCATGAAATTCGTTTCCTTGAAGCAAAGTCTTCAATTTCGTTCCAATTAATGTTCTTCAAAAGATTTGCCGTTCCCACAAGATTTGTCCCATTGTCAGAGTATACAGTGGACGGGTGTCCTCTGCGAGCAATAAATCGGCGAAGGGCCAAGACGAAACAATCTGTTGACAGGGACGATACTACTTCGAGGTGTACCGCTCGGTAGATGGCACAAGTGAAGAGTACCACCCAGTATTTTCTATCTCCTTTTAAAAGCAGAGGCCCGCACAGGTCGACACCTATAATTTCGAAAATAGCAGCGTCTCTGACTCTATCTTCTGGGAGAGGAATGCTTACGGCTTCCAATGGTTTAGCCGAGAATCTTTTGCACTTGACGCAATTTCTTACGACGCTTCGAATTGTCTTTCTGGTTTTAATAATCCAAAGCGACTCTCTGAGGTGAGACTTCAAAGTTTGAACACCGGCATGTTTCAGTTCAATATGTTTGTTCATTTTTAATTTTTCCACCAAATCATGCTTGCTAGGCAATAATATAGGGAACCTAAAAGTTTCTAAGTCTTTTCTCGATGCTATTTTTGTCTCAACTCGTAAGAGACCATCGCTGTCTTTCACAGTTCGAAAATTTATCTTTCCACTAAAAGATTCTCTTTGAATTTCTTTCAAAACGAACTTCTCTGATGCTTCGATCTTTTCTACCTCCAATTTCCCCTTCTTTCTATCTCTATGACTTCTTAGAGTATTTTTTATAAAATCGGATGACGTAAGCCATGATTCTCACAATTTTATTGAAGGAAGACACATTTTGGAAGAGTTCAAAGGTATTAGTTATTAAATTTGTGACTGAGGATATAGTTCGTTTTCTTTCTGAAAGAACTACTTCAATATCCGGAGAAAGTTCACTAGTTGGCCAATTCTCGAATGGCAGTTTTAACCATTGGGGGCCCTCCCACCAATGGGATTTCAATAAATCTTTAGAATTGCATCCCCGCGAGGGCAAATCTGCGGGATTATACTTTCCTTAAATATGTCGCCAAGCCTCCGGATCCATAAGTTTTCGAATTTCATTGACCCTGTTAGCAACAAAAGTGGCCCAGTTATCTTGCTTTTCAATCCAGTATAAAGCGTTCATTGAGTCAGTGTAGAAAAAGGTTTGTACATTCTTCATATTCAAATCATCTCTTACAGTGTAAGCGAGTCTGGCTCCAATGGTACACACAAGAAGTCTAGGAATTGTAATCGAATTTAGGGGTGCTACCTTGGATCTAGCCTGTAAGAGTTGACAGTTAACTATTCCCCCTTTAACATTTCTAATAAAAATTGAAGCTGCGTAAGCCGATTTGCTCGCGTCTACAAAGACATGCAGAGTAGAATTTTCATCTAGATCAGGTGTTTTTCTAGGGATTTCTATTTCTTTAAGATATTTTAATTCATTAGCCCACTTTAGAAATTTATTCCTCAGATTATGCGGAACTACTGTATCCCAATTAATTTTCTCCTTCCAACATTCCTGCAAGATTAATTTAGGAACTAGTGTGACAGGACTTGTAAACCCAATATTGTCAAAAATTCGGCTTAACATAGATAATACATTTCGTTTACTCGGAATGGGTTGATTTTCCTCATTTATCTCACAAGATAAAGTATCCCTGCATAAATTCCATTTAAGGCCCAATACTGAAACGATTTCTTTATAGTTATCTCCAGACAAGTTCAAAATTGAGGTTTCCTCATCACTATCTGGTCGATTATGTTTCCAACCCCTTAGGTCAAATTGTGCTGAAGCCATTAATTCTTTAGACACCGTAATGAAAGAATTTAACTCTTCAATAGTGTTCACACTTGCAACACAATTGTCTACATACATGGAATCTTTAAGTTTTAAAGCTATGTTTCTCTTGGTTTTATCTACATTCTCTAAATGATAATTTATAGTCGCGGCGAGTAAAAATAGGCTTGCATTTACGCCGAAAACTACACGGCAATGTGAATAAACAATTAGTTTCCCTGGATCCCCTCCCTCCATAAGAACCGCAGAAATTTCTTATCTGAGGGAGCAACGTTTATTTGTTGGAAAGCTCGACGAATGTCCGATATTACCCCAAATTTCCCCTGACGAAATCTGTTAATGAGTTTGGGGATCAGTTCTAAATTATTCGGCCCTTTCTCAACGCAATCGTTCAGCGACACAGAATTTCTTTCCTTAGCAGACGCATCAAAAACCGGTCGGATTTTAGTTGTGGAGTTCTCTTTAAATACTGGTCTATGCGGTAAATAATGACCTTTATCTTTTGTCAGTTCCTCTGAATCAACGGGTTCAATAATTTTTTCGGCTACCCAATCTCTGAAGACGTTTTCATATTCATGTAAACAGTTTCGTTTTTGTAACGCCTTTACGCAAGACTTTAACCGCTTTTCGGCAAGGTTTCGATTGTCCGGTAATTCAGGATGAACCTCCAACCATGGGAGAGACACTTCATACCTACCTTCTCCATCCCTTCTTAACGACCGAACAAAATGATCTTTCGCGGCTTCCTCAATTTCTGATCTCGTTTGAGAAATATTCGGTTCCGTAATTCCCAGAGAATCAAGTGACCATAAGTCACAAATATTTAAGTCAGTAACATGAAGTGATAAAAGCACTTCATTCGTTATAGGACTTTCTCCAGTTCTTCCCATTAAGGTCCAACCGAAATGCGTATTCATCGCGACAAGGCCATTCGTTATATTTTTAATTTCTCCAGTAAATAAATCCCCAGCATAATCCGCACCTATTAATCCGTGAATTTCATTAGCATTCCTATCAAATAAACATAAAGTTTCATTCACGGTTACGTCACTAGGATAAATTCCGTGCCCTTTTAACTCCTTCATAATTTCCCTACTGTCCAATTTTGGAATCGGAGTACGAATTGTCTTTTGTTCCAGTACATTTAATGTATAAGTAAAACTGTTGTCCATATTACTTAAATTAATCGTGTAATTTTTATGTGATTCTTCTTTCTTTAACCCCCCGAACAATCCATGTACAACTGTTTCCTGCCCAAGACTCTTTAATTTTAACTTACGCGCTGCAAATTTCGATATATAACTACAAGAAGATCCAGTATCAATAATCACCCTAATCAAATGTTTTTGTCTACCTCCCGAAACACTTACAATGAGAGTTTGCAACATTATTTTTTTCTCTACTAGAAGAGTTACTTAAAGCACAGTCCGTATCAGGTTTGGGAAAGATCAGAATTATTCCCCTTCCCCCCTGTTTCTATCGAATTTGTTTTTCTTTTCCCCATACACATTATACTAACGTGTCTGCCTGAACATATCTCACATTTAACGTTAGCCTTACAAGAAGAGGAAAGGTGTCTTTTTTTTATTTTATCATTTAAGCATCGAAAACAGGAGCCAGACCGCTTACAAATGTCTATTTTTTCTTCCAAATTCAAATTATTATTCGTGCAAGAAGCCGAGTAATGTTTATGAGATTTACAAAATAAACAAGTCTCTTTCTCATTCTTCCGATCTTCAAAACACTCATTAATTAATGCAGAAGCCGATGGCTGGCGCCTACACTCCTTCTCAGTAATGTGAGGATTCATTCTAACATGTGTTTTTATTTCCGAAACAGAAGTATTCAAATTTAAGAAAGTCATTTCTCTGGCTTTTAATTGAGATGATAAAAAATCGATTAGCTCACCAATTTCAGAAACAAGAGGATTTTTTGTTCATTTGTTGAATTCTAGTAGTAGATCACGGGGCAACAGTTTGGTTAAAATGGGAACTAGAATGTTCGAATAGCTATCTTTTTTAACAGGTAAACGTTCTAAGCTTCTGATATTCTTTTGTATGTGATTAAAAATGTTCCTGAAGTTTTTTACGTCATTAGAGTTTTTTAATGGGCATGTATGGAGTAGGTTTTCAATGTGTACATTAATCAAAATATTTATATCGCCAAATCGTTGCTTTAATAAATCAATAGCGTGATCATAATGTTCCGCGGTTAATTCTAAACCATCAATCACATTAAACGCAGGACCTCCTAAAAATGATCTCAAACAAATGAATTTATCAAGTTTATTGAGGTTTCTTATTCTCATTAATTGACGAATTGAAACAATTCCAAAAATTTAACCATTCAGAAATTTCTCCGTAGTACTTAGGAATAGTTAATTTAGGTAACTTTATGCGTTCCTTTTCAATGGTTTGAATGTCACTCTGATTGGGTCTATTTAGAGAAATATTAGCTTCTTGAAAGGAATTATTTAAATCAAGTTCTTTGTTTAAATTCTTAATGTTTTAAATTTTGTTTTAGTTATTTTTTCTTTGTACTCTTCTATACAGTTAAATTCCTCTTCCATATCCTCGATTTTGATTAAGCCCTCAATCTGAGAATGAATAGTTTTTAATTCCTCGCTTTTTTCACCAAAAAGTTCGAGTGATTCTTCGAGATCTTCCACACTTATGTCCGGTTTTAGAATGTCAGTTTCGATTTTAGTAATCATCTTTGTCACCGAAGCTCTTACAAAGCCGCGTTTCCGTTTCAATTTATTCAATTCTTCTTCAGACATTCTGTAAGTGTGAGTCAATTTATAGTTATTCTTAATTGCTAATCTTAATTTCTTTAAATTGGTGTTTAATGTCTTATTTCAAACATGCAACATTTCGTTATCAGGTAAAAGTCAATAAATGTCAATAATAGTTTATTACCGTTTAATGGCAGTCCCTGTTCGGGCGCCAAATTTCAATTTTTAAGCAAAAACTGAAGAAAACTATTTCTATATTAATTAAGGTAAGTGCTACTTACCCCGTTCTCCAGGACTGCCACTGTAGGTAATAAACGTCAATTTGTTTACTGTACAAAGTAATCCAACATGCTTTAGGACAATCACTTTAATAACGAAATATAACAAACAAAAGAAGATAAACAAGTAAGCATCTAATTATCGTACGGAGCTAAACTGCTCGTTCACAGATTGAGATCATAACATCAACTGGTGGCGCTGTGGGCGCACCAAAACAACATGCGCAGGAGAGCTATTGCGAGAATTCGCAACATTTTCATTTTCAGAATAAGGATTATAGAATACGAACGTGTTAACGCCTTTAATATGGTAGATTCATTTTTTGTTTTTAGTCTGGTATAAATGGAAACTTGTTTTGTCTTTTAATTATTTTTATATAATTCACTTGGGTACATAATTAAGCATTGTAACGAAACCAAATTAAAATTATGCTCGTATAAAAAGATATGTTCTGACAAATCTCTCTTAAATGAGCTTATAGCTATCATACATAGTATGTGACTTTATAATACATATATGGGCTTATATAATGAACTTATAGCTATAATTCTCTTTTGCTAATAATTTGATAACCTCGAAGCGTTATAAGATCTATGTTTTAGTTTCAATCTTCTAAGAATTCGATTCGCAAAAATTAAATTTTTTTTATTGATTGAGGAAATGGATTAAAGAATAACAAACAATGGAGATTGATAATTTACTTTTTAGAAAGCTCAATTAGATATAAATTTTTCCTATATCGAATTTTTCTCTTGTTTAAATTAGTCTAAAAAACATAGTGAACTTTAATTTAAATTTCTAAGTTTATAATTATCTAATTTACTATGTTATTACAAAAATGCAGATTTTGAAAAAATAAGTATTTTCTTAAATTTTTGTTATTAATTATATGTCAATTACTAAATATTAGCGGCAGACTTACTCCTATTCAGAAAAAATACATAAATAATGAAAAATGTTATTTTTTCAATATAGTCAACAAAAATTAGGTATAATGTTAAAAATTATAAACAAAATATTTCTATCAATACTTTTAAAACAATTGGTATAACATATATCAATCAATATTTCTATTTTCTCTCATTTTTAATTATGTATTATTCTGAACTGGATTTAATAAACTTAAGTAGTGTTGATTTGTGTGAAATAGAAGGCTATTGTTATGAAACTTTTTAGAAGCTAATAAAATAGGTACCTTAAAGCTTTTCTTAAAGAATATAATTTAGAACATAACCAAATCATGTCATTTTTCATGTTCTTTAAGATATTTATGACCAGTTTTGTGGGATATAACTTTTTGGTATCAGAGTTTTATTTTCTTGTCCAAGCTATTCTTTAAAATAAACTAAATCGTGATCTTTTCTAAGCTTTACTGTAGGAAGATGGCAAAACTGCTGTATTCTCTAAACAATAAATAGATAAATTTTAAGTTCATTGTTTTGGGACTTAAGAGATGACAGGTGCATTTATTTTCATTTCCGTGATAATGGATTATGTTTTTAATGGGATTCTTAAATATACTCTGAAAATTTCATATTTGCTTTTGTATTCTTTGTAAGTTTTAGAAAATTAAATTTTATTGTTTACCAACATAAATGTTTTATAATTCATTTCTGATCTTTAGAAATCAAAATAATTAATGACTTAGTTAGTTTTCTTTAATTATCTATTTTGTATTATACTTATTATTATTTTTTAATATTTCGTTTAAGATTTCGTAAAATGCACTTATGTTTAAAAGCAAGTTGGTGTCGAGTAAAAATTGTTTTTGTTATGAATGCATTGAAACAATGAATTTTTAGGAAAAACTTGAATTTTTCCTTTTCGTATCGAGGAATCCCCATTTCTTCAAATCAAATTACCTTTTTTCTATACTAATTTTAGTAATTTCCGGAATATTTACTTGCTTATTATCAAAAGATTTTATTTGTATATTTCTGTACCCTTATCGCTCAGAATTAACATATATAGAGTAAATATGTTTATTTGCGATGAATATACGAGTGAAAACACTGAAGGTTTCGGGAATCGAGGTTCTAATCGGGTTCTAATTACAAAGCATATATTTTTACAATGTTGCTAGTTTTTCAGAAATAAATAAAGTGAATGAAGAAAAAGTATAAAGTTTCAGTGAAAGGCATGTTAATGAATAGAAAAATCAGGAAACTGTTTATAGAAACTAATTGTAAAAGATTTAGTTTTATAAAATGCTCCTAGCTTTGATGCTGATCCCGAAAAAAGGAATTATTTTGGCAAAAAAAAAAATATTAGATAATTTTAAGCGTACTTTTAAAATCATAAAATTTGAAAAAAAGAGAATGCTACAAAAATGAATATTAAAGTTGTTTTTGAGTAAATCAAAAAATTGACCAATAGATTTTTAATAATATTCCTCATCCGATGACGATAATCAGACCCAATAGACCAAAATCATTTTTATCAATGATATACATCGCGAAGAAAGGTATAGATGCATTCTAAAATATTTTTATTTAGGGATAAATGTTTTTTAGTTCGAAATATCCTATATTCTAATATCCTATATTCTAATGAGAACCTCTACGTTTTCCATGTGTTTGAGCTTCTTCTGTTGTAACGAGCAACGCCCTCTAGTTAAGAAGAAATTGTAAATATAGTTGTAGTTTGTACTACGAAGCATTCGAACCTCTCGTGTGTTCAATGATTCATTTTGGATTTTTGTAATTGTTTCGTAAAAATAAATTTGTTATTTGTTTATAAAAAACCAGCGACCTATTAGTATATGGATAGTACACCATGGTTTTTATGTTTTTTCTTTGTTTTTATTTTTATTATTGTTTTTAATTATGTGATTTATATCACACATGTATCCTTAATATTTTTAAATAAATTTAAATTTTTTAAATGATGAATAATAACCGCTATTTAACCAAGTTATAATTAAAATGTGATTAAACACATATTTTATTTTGAAATTTCATTATTGTCTTTTCAAAAATGTCATAAGAACTAAACAGTTTCATTTTTTTCCGACAAATTACTATTTCTTAATTATTTTTTAAACAACACCAAGATTCAAAATTTTTATATTATTCATTTTCGTTCCTACTGTGCTTACGAATTAGGAAGTGTACTTTTGTAATTTTAATTCTAAATTTAGAGGAAATTAACCGGCAGCAG